GTCTCCCATTTTGTTGCTTTATGTTCCCCAGATGAATGCAATCTTTCTGTGTCTATCCCGCTCCTTCTGACTCATTTCACTTAACATGATACTTTCCATGTAGTACCACTTGTATGTAAATTTCATGACTTCATCTTTTCTAACAGCTACATAGTACTCCATTGTGTAAATGTACCAAAGTTTCTTTAACCAGTCATCTGTTCTTGGGCACTCAGGTTTTTTCCAGATTCTGGCTATTGTAAAGAGTGCTGCAATGAACAAACAATTGCAGATGTCGCTTCGACTATACCTTTTTGCCTCTCTGGGATATATTCCCAGGAGTGCTATAGCTGGGTCAAATGGGAGATCAAATTCTAATTTTTTGAGAATCGTCCATACTATTTTCCAAAAGGGTTGGACCAGCCGGCATTCCCACCAGCAGTGAAGGAGGGTCCCTTTCTCGCCACATCCGCGCCAGCACCTGTTGCTTTTGTTCCTGTGGATGTGGGCCAGTCTCTGTGGTGTGACTTAGGTTCTTGGACACGCCATGGTGGCCAAGGTTTACTTCTGCCTCTGCTCTGAGATCACTCCTGACGGGACTTGGAAGACCAAGTGTGGTGCAGGGGAGCAAAGGTATTTTTTCTGGTGCCAGGGATACGTGAGACCTGTGTTTTTTATTGCCACATCCTGGGCACCACTAGTGAAACTTTATAAAATATAAAAATGTTTGAAAATCAGTACTCTCTAACATCCAACAATACCTTGTTTTACAAAACACCAAGGTGATTTTTATTTCAAAAGTGCGTTTCACCCAAAAGGAGAGAGAGAACAAAAGGGAATGCCCTGCCACAGAGGCAGGGTGGGATGGGGGGGATGTGGGGTGGGAGAGATACTGGAACCTGTGGTGGTGGAAAAGGGGCACTGGTGGAGGGATGGGTATTTGATCATTGTATAATTGAAACCCAAGCACAAAAATTTGTAAGTCTACAAATGTACCTCATGGCATCTCACTAATAAAAATTAAAAATAAAAAAATAAATAAAAAGTGCGTTTGTTATATGTAATACATATTTATGGCAAAACCCACAAAGATACAGTTGAGTGCACGGTTAAGGTGCCCTCCTGACAGCCACATGAGTGCACACTGCACTGACCATGTGCCACGTTTAAGCGGTTAAGACAGGGAAGCCCACTGGGCTAACACAGCAGGATCTGTGCACATTTCTGTATGGGGAGCTAAACTTCCAATAAGTGATGGTTAAGGCAAAAATCCCATAAAATTCCCTACACCTCTAGCCTTCAGCCATTTAATTCCCCTTCCAGGATATAAGCTCTGTGACCAGCTTGCACCTAACCTCCTGAGCTGTGTTTTCTATATCTGTATACATGTGTACATTAATTTGTATACAAATGGGGGAATACATAGTTTTTTCTAATACTTGTATCAATATATATGTTATCTGCCTTAAAGTTCTAATATTCCATTTGAATTATTTCAAAGAGCTGAAAAGTCTTTAATTTCAGCACAAGAAACCCTTTGCTAACATGTAGTAAAAATAATAGGATTAAAATAATATGAGGAAGATTAAATAGAGTAATAAGCATTCAAATAAATACTTTTAGAACAATTTTTAGAACTAAAGACTGAAGTTTGTAGAACCCAGATTAAAAAGAAAAAATATTGCATTGACATGACAATTTTTAAATTCTACACTGAAACCCATAATAATACTTCAAAACTTTAAAAAACATGTAGGGCCAGGAAGATAGTACAGCAGGTAGAGATCTTGCCTTGTACATGGTCTGACTCCAGTTTGACCCATATGTAAATACAGAAATTAAAATGGGAAAAATTTTTGCAGTTGCAAATCAATACCACTTTTGAAGTTTCCCTTCAATTTTCTGATGAGACGTTCACGTGGTAAGGAGATAAACACTGAAAATATATTCAGATTAAAACTACAAGCTTTCTTTTTACTTAAACATGAATGACAGTTTGACAATGCATGGTCTTTTAAGTTTCAAATTAGTTTTTTCTTGTTTTTTGGGCCACACCTGGCAATGTTCAGGGGTTACTTCTGGCTCTGTTACTCCAGAGGTACTCCAAAAACCGTACAGGATGCTGGGGATCAAACCCAGGTGGGTCATGTGTAAGGCAAGCACCTGACTTCCTATACTATCTCACCAGCTCAAATTATTTAATTTTTAACTTAATAACTATAATGCTTATTTTTGTCTTCCCATCTTTTGAATAATTGATAGTTTCCTAATATTGATATCCTTTATTCTGAATTAATAGATTATTTAGAAAATAATGGGCTGGAGCGATAAGCTCAGCGGGTAGGGCATTTGCCTTGCATGCAGCAAATGCAGCTGACCCGAGTTCGATTCCTCCGCCCCTCTCGGAGAGCTCGGCAAGCTACCAAGAGTATCTTGCCCGCATAGCAAAGCCTGGCAAGCTACCCGTGATGTATTTGATATGCCAAACACAGTAACAACAAGTCTCACGATGGAGACGTTACTGGGCCCACTCGAACAAATTGATGAACAACAGGAGGACAGTGCTACAGTGCAGTGCATTTAGAAAATAAAAGTGTACAAATTAAAAAGTTTCAGTTTAATAATCCTTGGCATGCATATGATCCTCTTATCTCCACCAGGAGTGACCCCTGAGCACAGAGTCAGGAGTAAGTCCCAAGTACCTACAGGTATAGCCCAAACTGTCTCCCCCCCTCCACACACACATACAACAAAATCATCGGGTCAACAGCAACATCTGTTGAATGTAAATAAGTACTCTCAGCAATTACTAAATATCTGATTAACTACATGCCACAGCAAAGGACTTCAGATCATCATTATACAATATTTACTGGCTATTCTCTACATGTTAGACATTAAACCATCCACTAGGGCCCCACAAAGACCACGAGGAAAGATTTACTATTTGCTATAAAGATGGAGGCCTTTTGTGCTCCTTCACCTCAGGTATGATTTAATCAATTCCTCATATTCAACATGTATTAAGTCACAGATACTCATTTTGTCTGGCACTAGGGTAAAACTGGTGGGCTAAATGAAACACGTTTATTTTGTTTTGTTTTGAGGTCACACTGGAGCTGTGCTGGGGGACCATGTAGGGCTGGAGACTGAACCTGGGGCCTCACGTGGGCAGGCAAATGCTCTACCTCTGAGTCACACCCCCAAACGACAATTTTAAATAAACACAAATTCATGCTACTTCTCTCTCTTACCTCCTCCAAATTGTGTACTTTTGGGGTAATTGATCATGAAGCAAAAAAATTATAGGCATGAATCAGTCGTGCAAAACGGATAGAAACGGTGGCAAGCTGACTCTTGGTGGTTAAGAGTGCCCTGTGAAGGTTACGGCCAGATTCCCGAGCTGCCTGGCATGTAACTGATAGCCCCCTCCCGCCCGCCGGCACAGGTCTCTGATGTGCGTCTACTATTTGTGGTCTGCTGCTATTTCTGACCCGGAGCTCCATTACCTTTGCTCAGAAGGAGTCACCCGCAAGTTTAAATCATTTGCTGGGTATTTCAAAGCGGAGACTAATGAGGTGGACAGTAATGGTCACTGCTCTGCTTGGAACAATGCAATTCAAAACCTGCACCTTGCAATCTTAATTGTCACCCCCACACTGATGCCACGATTGCACAAGAGCCAGTTTACCAGCTCATCTTCGAATATAATTAGCCCCTGAGCTCAGAGGCAGGTCACACAAACCCGGGGGCTGGTGAAAGCGACACCAAATGGTCAGTATCCCAGTGCCTCCTGGACAAGGGACGAAACAGTCACACATTCGCCCAGGTCCACGGACTGCTTCAATTCTCATAAATAACCTTACAATAAGGAGCCCTTATATTGTTGGTCTTCCGGTCACTTTATCCCCAGTCCCACTGATCTCTGTGCTCATTAAACAGCACTAAGACATTCACATCAATAGTCTCCTTAAAAACAACTAAAAATCGACGCAGAAAAAGGACTGTATATATATTTTTTCTGCCCCCCGCCCCCCCCCCCACCACCCAAGGGTGCCCAGGGCGTCCTCCTGGCTCTGAGCTCGGCCCTAAACTGCCAGTACTGCAGCCCGATGCGAGCGGAGAGCGGGGCTGAGGGGTCGTCGGGGACCCGCGGGAGACCCTCAGGGAGGCCGAGCGCGCGCAGAGGAGAGACCTGGGAGAGTCCAGCTCGGGGCACCCTGGGGACCCTCGCGCCCCTGCGCCAGCACCCGCCCCGCTTCCCGCGCCCACACAGCGGCTCATCACCCCGAGGCCGGCCCGCATCCTCCTCAGACCCTCCCGGACGCTGCCCGCCCCGACTAACGCGTCCTCCTGGGCGCTCCGGCGCATGCCGCCCGCTCCGCCGCCCCCAACCTTCCCCGCGGGTCCCCCGGGGTCCCCCCAATCCCCCAGCCCCGGCCCCGTGGCCCCCTCGGGCCCCCGCGTCTCCCTCAGACTCAACGTCTCCCTCGGAACCCGCGTCCCCCCCAAACCCCGCGTCTCCTCTCAGTCCCCACGTCCCCCTCAGACCCCCCGCGTCCCCTCAGACCCCGCGTCCCCCTCGTCCCCTCAGACGCGTCCCCCTCATCCCCCTCGTCCCCTCAGACCCCGCGACCCCCTCAGACCCCTCGTCCCCTTCAGTCCCCTCAGACCCCTCGTTCCCTCAGATCCCGCGTCCCCCTAAGTCCCCTCAGACCCCTCGTTCCCTCAGACTCCGCGTCCCCTCAGTCCCCTCAGACCCCGCGTCCCCCTCAGACCCCGCGTCCCCCTCAGACCCCGCGTCCCCTCAGTCCCCTCAGACCCCTCGTCCCCTCAGACCCCGCGTCCCCTCAGACCCCGCGTCCCCCTCAGACCCCGCGTCCCCTCAGTCCCCTCAGACCCCTCGTCCCCTCAGACCCCGCGTCCCCTCAGACCCCGCGTCCCCCTCAGACCCCGCGTCCCCCTCAGTCCCCTCAGATCCGCCCCGGCGCCCGCTCCGCCCGGCCCGCGCGGCTCCTCACGAGAAGAACGGGTCGTCCTCGAAGGTGCTGCTCAGCGTCCCAAACATCGCGGCGGCGGGCTGGGCGACTGCTGGGACCCGCCGGCCGCGCGCGCAGCGCTGTGAGGACTCGCGGGGCGGGGCGGGGCGGGGCGGGGCGGGCGGCCGCGCGCGCTCCTATTGGCCGGCGCCTGACGGCACTGAGGGGGGCGGGTCCGGCGCGCCGTTGCCACGGCGACCGCCACAACACAGCGCGTGCTGGGCTGCCGGGCTTCAGCAGAGACACTGTTAGGCCCATCTCGGGGCGGTTCGGCAGGATCCCGAGGCACCAGGGTCCGCGAGGGGCTCGGCCTGCACCCCACCGACACCCCGAGTCCATATGGGGGTCGGTCTACACCCCACACCGGAATCCATATGGGGACCGATCTATACCCCAGTAGCACCCGGAGTCCATATGGGGTTCTCTCTGCACCTTAGAGGCACCAGAGTGTGAGGGATTTGGTCTACACGCCACTGACATTCAGTGCTCACATAGGGGTTGGTCTACACCCCACTGACACTCAATGCCCACATGGGGATCGGTCTACACCCCAGTGACTACACCCCACACGGGGTTTGGTCTATACCCCGGTGGCACCAGGGTGCGCCTGGGCCTTGACCCTAGGGTAAAAAGTCCACTTGGGGCTCGGTCTGAAGCCCGGCAGTGCCCAGGACTTCTGTGGGGCTCGCCTGGGACCCCCAAGGTCCACTCGGCCGCCAGGTGAACGCCTGGGGTCTCTCCCTGCACCTGATGTGGTTATAACCGGGGCCCTGCACAGAAGCCGAGCAGAGAGCAGCGTGGACCGCTAGAGCAGGGGGCCAGGCCTCTAACGCGGGCACCAACACGTGGCCTTGGGGGAGTCCAGACGTCCGTTTCCGGCGAGGGGATAGGGGTCGGCGCATCTTTCTAGACAGAGCCCCCAGTTTCTCACCCTTCCGGCTGTTGCCTCTGATTCTGGGGCGGATCCTGATACCACTAAATGGCTTTGTAATAGAAATAAAAATACAGTATCAGCTCAATCTGCAGCCAGTCCCTGTGCACGCATGTGCACGTCTGTTAGTGCGTGTGCGTGTGGAGCGCACTGGGAGATGGGACCCAGGTTGTCCTCTCCAGAGCTCTAGGGCTTAGTCTCCGGCACATCTGAGGTGTTTTGAAAGGGAGCATGTCCATTCCATCTTAGCAGCCGATCTCTTACATTTTAAGTTAAAAGTGAGTGTGGACGGGGCTGGAGTGTTACTAAGCTCTGGGAGAGGTCGCCTTGACCTCGATGAAGACAGGTGGCCGGAACGAAAACGGAGAGGAGAGGAGAGAGGACACAGGCCAGTGGCCTGTCCACTGAGGGCTGTCCCTCCAGCACAGCACCATCAGGCCCCAAAGGCCGCCTGGCGAAGGGATGAACCCTGCCAGGGTGAGGAGTTTTCAGGGCGGGACCTGGAGGTGGCAGGAGTTTTGGGGGATATTTTGGGAGTGGGAAATTTAATCTTGTGGACCTTTTTACCTCCTGCCTTTAGCCAAGTTCTCAGAGGCTGTGGGTGAGAAGTTATTATAAACATCATAGTAATTAGGATTGATAGTGCTATTGTGGATTTTCTGTATTTGTAGCACTTTAAAATTTAATATAAAATAGTTTTTGTACATATTGTCAACCACTGAAAAATTATTTAAAAAACGTTTTTGTGGAAAAATTTTTTTCAGACTTTTCCAGACAGTGCTCAGAGAATAGAGATTAGTGAATTTCTAAATTGAGACCAGAAATAATAGTCTCCTTAAGCTACCTAAACAAGAAAGCAAAAGAAAATGAAAAGAAAAAAATCAACAAAACTCAAAAGAAATGACAAAAGGGAAGAAAGAAAAAAAATAACAGAAACAGGGACTGGAGTGTAGAGGACAGGGATCGTCTCACATGTGTGGGACCCTGGCTCCACCCTGGCACCACATATGGTCCCTGGAGCACCATCTGGAGTAATCCCTGATCACATAGCCTTGAGCATGTTTGGGTCTAACCAAAATACCCAAATTATCATAATCATGGCAATAAAATTGCAGAGGGGCTACACATCACACAGCGGTTCATGAGCTTGCCTCAAAAGCAGCTGGCCCTGGGCTTCCATCCCCAGCACCCCACAAGGTCCCCTAAGCACCACCAGGAGTGATCCTTGAGCACAGAACCAGGGGCAAGCCCCGAGCACGGTTGGGCCCCAAATAAAAGAGAAAATAACACAAACGCAAGATGGGGAGGAGGCCCCCCTCCCCACCCGCTGGTGAGGGACGACACTAAAATAGTAGATTCCGGTCAGTGACCCAATCGTCTTCCCGGCCCCTGCAAATATAGCCAAATAAGGCGCGTGTGAGGAAACGTCCCTCCTTGTTCCCTGGTGGGTGTTAAACTGGGAGCCCGTCTCAGCTCAGGCTGTGGAGCTGACGGGCCTCGGAAGCAGCAGGCACCGGGCAGCTGGCAGAGGCCAAAACTGAACAGGAAGCAGAGGAGAGACGGGAGCTCAGCGGCTCCAGACCTGCTGGGTAGAGATGGAGATGGGGGAGGGGGGTGTGGTACCCGGGGGCGGGGGCACAGCCCTCCGAGGTGGACAGGTCAGCCTGGGAACGGCAGCATAGCCATGGCTGTGGGACGTCCCCGGCAGCGGGCAGGGCTGGCTGCGTGGACGTGGGGGACGGGCCATGCTGGAAAGTGGCATCTGTCCTGCTTCCTGCCAGAGCCACCCAGGCCCACGCCTTGCTCTGCATTTGGGTGGGCCTAGAGGGAGGGAACTTGGTGTCTGCGGGGTGGGCGGCCAGTGCCAGTGGACATGGAGGCAGAGAGGGGAGCAAGCCCGCGCTCCTGGACGTGGCACTTGGGTGAGGGGGACCGGAAACAAACGACTTGGGTGTCTGTAGGGGATGGGCCCATCCCGAGGCGGTTCCGGGAGGCCTCATGGGCACTGAGCGGAAGGAGGCAGCATCCCCAGGAAGCGTGGCTGGCAGGGCCCTGATCGCTGCCTGCTGGACACAGGAACAGGTGAAGTCCAGGTGCTGAAGTTTAAGAACCAAGTGAGGTCATTTCTTCCGACAGGCTCCCGGCTCTGCCAGCACGGTGACTGTTGTGGTTCCTACCGACTCCGGCACCAGGATGCCGGCCCCACCTCAAACAGGGAAAGGAAAAGCAGCAGGGAAGCTGGTGGTGGGATCCAAACCACACTGGCTTGATTCAAAGCCCCCCTGCCCCCCTAGGGGAATCGATGAGCTGTTTCTGAGCACTGCTGGCCGAGCCCCTCGTGCACGGGGATCTGATGCGCTCTGTTTGGGTCCCTTTGGGGTCCGTGAAACCCAGGCCGATCCCCTTTACTGAAACAGGAAACATAACGCCCACCCCTTTCCTGCCCTAACTCACTTCACGTTGGCTGGGGGCCTCCTGCCCTGCCCTGTGGGCGTCCCGGCCAGCGGTGGCCAACGCCTTGGTACCCAGGGGTCTGCCGGAACCCGGGACCCCTCGTTACGAAAGTCAGGAGTGTTTGTGCCCCGCCTGGGAGGCTCAGGGCTGAGCTGTAGCCATGGTTCTGTCCCAGGACGCTTGGCCCCTCGACACCTCTGTGGTTTCCGGGTGCCAGAGCTTTGTCTGCTAATCCCTGAGCTGTGCAGGGGAGCGCTGGGGGCCTTGGAGGAACTGGGCACGTGTGTGGGGCTGGGCTTGAGTGACTGGTCTGGGAGGGGACCCGGTTCCCTTCCTCTCCCTAGAGGGCCAGGATTTCAGAGCGGCCGCGGGTGACTGAACCCGTCCAGGAAAACACAGTCACCACGGCAGCAGCGGGGCAGATGCCAACCTGCTGCCCGAGTGCCTTGCAGTGCCAGGAGGGCTGGCTCAGTGCCGGCATGAAATGTGGCCGTTGATGGTCGGAGGAGGAGCCTTTTCTTACACGTTTGTGCGTTTGAGAACCTGCTCTATGGCTGAAACACAAGCGCGTAAGCGTGGGCCTTACTCCACGGCGTGTCCACACGCCTGGCGTTTCTTCAGCCCTGGGTATGGAGACACCGCGGAGGCTCTGGGGCTCAGGGAGTGCGAGGTCGGGGTCCCTGCTGGAAGGGGGCGACGCCTGAAGCCCACGCGGTGACTTGGGGCCACCAGGTTCCTCTCCCTGGCCCCGCCTCTCCCAACATGCTACACAGATGAAGGTTGCCCAGTGCCTTCAGACTTGCCACGGAGGGCAGCTGGGGCCCCCGTGGCCACTGTTCCACGGCAGGGACACTCCAGGCCTGAATTCCCAGCACAAGTGGCCGTGGCCTGAGTCCCCTCTCCAAACATGATCGAGAAACCCGGCAGGGTGCCTGCCTGACAGCCTGCTGATCACTGGGTGTGGGGACAGTCTAGAATGGAAGGAAGGAGGAGAGGAGGGAGGGAGGGAGAAGGGGGAGGGGAGGAAGTGAAGGAGGGAGGGAAGAAGGAATGGAGGGAGGGGGAAGGGAAGAGAGGGGGAAGGGGATAAAGGGAGGAAGGGAGGGAGGGAAGAGAGTCAAGGAGGGCGGGATGGAGGGAGAGAAGAATGGAGGGAAGAAGGAAGAGAGGAGAATGGAGGGGAGGAAAGAAGGAAGAAAGGGAAAGAGGGAGGGTGGACAGAAGGAGAAGGGGCGGGAAGGAGGGAGGCAGGCAGGGAGAAGAGAGAGGGAGGAGGAGAAGGAGAGGGGGGATAGAGTTTTTTTTTTTTGCTTTTTTGTTGGGCGAGGGGGTCACACCCAGCGATGCCCAGGGGTCACTCCCGTCTCTGTGCTCAGGAATTACTCCTGGCGGTGCTCAGGAGGTGCCCTGTGGGATGTTGGGGGCCGCCAGCATTCACCCCTTTAGGTCCATCTTTGGTCAGTGACACTCGGCAAACTTTTTCCCTGTGGAGAAGAGTTGCAGGATGACAGTTTCCCTCTCAGTCTTCGGGGCGGTCTCTACTCCCTTTGTGCATTTCCAAGCGTTGGTAGATCAGGGACCGCAGGTGCACTGAGGCTCCAAGCGTAACCGGGAAGCGGCTGGGGCCATCTCCAGCCGGGGAGTTGGACGTGACCGGGAGTGCCGGCCCACAGTTATTTTTAAACCTCTGATAAGGTTTGGAGAGAATTCAAATGGGGCAGAGGCCCCGGTCAGCTGAGAGACACTCCCAGGGCCAGGGATATTCTGGGCGGCTTCAGCACCGGCCCGGGCTCGCGACCGCTGCAGGAAAGGGAGAAGCTGCTCCCACCTTTCCGTTTCAGGCCCCAGGCCCGGCAGGTTCTAGCATTCTCTGGAGCAGCTGCAGACGGTCCCAGCCCTGAGCCACCCTGAACCCTCCCCAGGACACAGGGACCTGGCACGGGGAACCCGGAGTCCTCATCATCCCACAGGTGACCCCTGCGCCCCCCAGTCTGATGGAGAATCTGGTCTCTGCAGGGGCGAGTGACCAAGCCAGGGAGAGGGACAACGGCTGCATCTGCTCGTCCTGTCCTGGGTCTCAGAGCTTCCCCGGGCCGCAGTGCACGTCAGGGTGCCCCCACGGATGCCCTCCCGGGGGCAAGGGCAGAGAACAAGCCCTGGGTCAGGCATGGGAGGTGCCCCTGCAGGTGCCCCTCCTGGGACGCGGCTTCTCAGAAGAGCTCCCACTTTCTAGCGGTTTTGTCTGGGGGCAACACCGGACTGTGCTCTGGGCTCACTCCCGACTCTGCTCTGGCTCTCCAGGAAGGACCAGGGACCCTGTGGTGCCAGGGACCAAACCTGGGCAGGGCGTGTGCCAGGCAAGTGCCCTACCCACTGGGCTCTCTGGCCCTACCCACTGTACTGTCTTCCTAGCCCTACCCACTATACTTTTTGGCCCTGAGAGCTCCCACTTTTTAAAGTTGGTAATTCAGGCCACGCCAACGGCCCAGCTCCAGGCTTCTCCTCTGTGGAGACGCTGAACTGATGGAAACCCCAGGCACGGGGATGTGGGCTGAGAGCTCTCGGCTCTGCTCTGTAGCCCACCCCTCCCGCCCTCCCCCCAGTCTCCACAGACCCTGGAGTTCTGGGAATGACACCTCTGAATCCCAGGCACCGAGTTAGAGGGGAAGGTAGTACACAAGCTTTCAAGCTTGGGAGGCTTGATTAGCTACAAAGGGCTCAGTGAACCCCAGACAAGGACCCTGTGAGCCAGTGTGAGATGGAGCAAGTTCACACATTTTCTTGTACTGAAACTATTTAGTTGTGACAAGCAGTATAAAATATGTTCTTCTGTGCCCGTGGCAGGCTTGGGGGGTGGGGTGGGAAATTGGGACAATGGTGATGGGACAGTGTGGAGCAATGAATGCCCGTGACAACTGTATAATAAAGAACTTGTAAACCAGTGTATTTTAACCAAGTTAAAAAGAAAAGGGGGGGGGGGAGGAGGAATTGGTGAGTCACTCAACACCAACGCTCCCCCCGCCCCCCATCGGTTCCGCCATACCCTGTCTGTGTCCGTGTATCTGCACATGTGCACGTGTGTGTGTGTGTGTGTGTGTGCGTGTGTGCGTGTGTGCGTGTGTCTGTCCGGGACCTCCAGGAGCACATATGCTTTTAAACGTAGCTCAAGAGCCGCCAAGGCCCTGCAGCGGGCCTGCAGGAATTTTATGGAAATATTTCCAGGAGGAAAAAAAACATTTATCAGACACGGATTCTGGAAGATTTTCTATCTTTGATCTCATGTGGGAAAACTGCGTCTGATGCCAAAGGACACAGCACTTTGGAACAAGAAGGAATTCTTCTCAGGCTACTCAAAGGTGCGTTGGCCAGGGGACGTGGCTCACGGCTTCCTCCCAGGCCCAGGAGCACACAGGGAGTGACATGAGAGTCGCAAGCGCGTCAGCGCGGGCCTTACTCCACGGCGAGACTCTTCTCCCGCTCTCACGCCAGCAGGAAGGGGACTCGGAGAGCCACACTGCGACAACATGTACCAGCCAGTTCCCAGAACTGCTTCTTTGTTCAACTCAAAGCTCTGTGGGCCGCCACACCTGGGCTTCTCGACTGTCCAGTGTCCCGTGCTCGTCTGCACCTCACAGTCTCTGGGAGGCGCTCGGGCGGTGGGGGGCGGAGGGGGGCGTGCAGGTGGGACAGACCCAGGCTTCCCCGGGGGTGGGGCTGGAAGCCGAGCTGTCAAGGAGGGTCAGCTCCATCCGCCCTTCTGCAAGAGATCTCGGGTCGACTCGCCATTCCTGCTGGAGCTAAAACTAAGCCGCGGGCATGCAGGGAGAGAGGGCACGGCTTGACCCACAGGCAACCCAGCTCTGTCTCTGCCAGGCCCCGGGGGCACCGGCCATGGCGTCTGAAGTACGGGCGGGCCTGGATGGTGCTGGATTTGGTCCCTGGCCCACGTGACGCCGCCAGCCTGCAGGCCTTTGGGCGTGAAGTCAGAGGCGCCCAGCTCCCCAGCCCGACCGACTGAAACTGTGTCTTCGCTGTGGCCCCACCTGGCTCAGGGCTGACTTCTGGCCTTGCGCTCACAAGGTGCGGGGGATCAAGCCTGGGCTGGCTTGTCACCCTGGTCCTGGGCCTCCTTGAGCATTAACGCCCGGTGGGGAAACACGAGAGCTCCCCTTGCGCTGTCTCAAGTGTGGTCTCTGGGTGTGGGACCCACGTCCTGGCCGCAGCCCCCAGCCTCCCTGAGCCCCCGGCCCTCTCTGTGTCCCAGGAGGTGTGACTGTGACACGCCGTCCTCGCGGGGGTCGAGTCGTGGCCCTGCGGCCAGCGCCTGCACCTCGGGACAGTCCCTCTGCAGGGTCAGGCCTCCTCCTGGCCTGGGCACAACGGCGCTGCCCACGGGCCCGGGTCCTCGGGGCAGTGACATCCCGCCGGGCACTGGGGGGACTGGCCTTGGGCTCTTGGTGCTGCTGGGGTGCACAACCACAAATGGTGACATGGCAGGAAGCACGCAGCCACGGAAAGCGAAAGCAGACCTGTGACCCGGGCGTCCCTGTCATCACCTCATGGCATGAAAAGGATCTGGCTTTACAGACGGGCGACGCTGGGCGGGACGCTGGGCCCTGTGCTATGAAGTCTCCCTCATCAAAGGCGACCCGGCCCCCGCGGAGGCGGGAAATGGCACTAATGGATGTTAATGAGAACCACGCAAATCAGGAGGAGGGAAGCACTACCGGGCTCCTGAGGGAACCAACTTTAGTTTGTTAAAAACACATGACCTGGGGCCAGAGTGACAGCCCAGTGGGGAGGGTGCCCGCCCTGCACACGCCAAGGTGGGTTTGGTCCCCAAGGCCACAGCGCCCCGAGCACCGCCAGGAGTGACCCCTGAGCACTGCCAGGTGTGGTCCCCAAACCAGCCAACCAACCCAACCAGAACAATAGTGCCCGAAACAGGGCACAGGGCCAGTGCACACGCGCGTTGGCTTCTGTGTTTGCGGTATTTGCGTGTGAGTGTCCCGGGTTCCAGCCCAACACCGATAGGGTGGCTCCCTTCTCTGCCCCCAAATGTAAACCGACTCTCTCCATCAAAAATAAAGTAGCTTTGGGTGGAGGGAGAGATACTGGGGACACTGGTGGTGGAGAATGGGCGCTGGTGGAGGGATGGGTACTCCATCATTGTATGACTGACACAGAATCATGAAAGTCTGTGAGTCTGTAACTGTATCTCATGGTGATTCAGTCACTGTCACTGTCCTCCTGTTGCTCATCGATTTGCTCGAGCAGGCCCAATAACGTCTCCATCGTGAGACTTGTTGTTACTGTATTTGGCATATCGAATATGTCACGGGGAGCTTGCCAGGCTTTGCTGTGCAGGCGAGATACTCTCAGTAGCTTCCGGGGCTCTCTGAGAGGGGCGGAGGAATTGAACCTGGGCCGACCGGGTTAGCCACGTGCAAGGCAAATGCCCTACCTGCTGTGCTATCGCTCCAGCCCTACGGTGATTCAGTAAAATAAATAAATAAATAAATAAATTAGCTTTAGAGTTCCCACTGCAGTTCAAGTTACCTGAGAATCTGAGCTTCGTGCCAAAGGCCGCCAGTGTGAAACCAATCCAGCAGGTGAGCATTGGTCAGGAGCACTGGCCAGGGGCCCCTTGGTCCGGCCACACCCTAAGATACTTTCTGAGAGCGTGGGGACACTTTCACTGTGCAAGCGGTGCGGATCGAAGAATAAAAAATATTGCAGAAACTTTTATCTTCATTTTTTTTAAGGCCACCGAGTTCAGCGTGTGTCTGTGGACCCACTACAAGCGCCGGGCACACTGCGGGCAGGCAGGGAGGGCGGAGGGGGGCCGTCTCTGCTCCCCGGTAGCCTGCGAGCCACGGGCAGGCAGGCCAAGCTCTCTAGTCTCTGCTTCTAACCGGATCTGCATTTCCAGACACAGAGAGGCTACCAGAAATGCCTCACAGTTTGGTCACTGCACCCCGACAACGTTCTGGGTTATCTGCTGGCCTGGGCCAGGGCCAGGAGCCCAGCGGAGGGGCCAGGGCAGCAGAACGCGGAGGGCGGGTATCTCCCCTGGGTTGCGCCAGGAGTGGCTGACGAAGTGAGTCACTCCCCAAGTCGGAGCGAGAACACTGACCGGTTTCCTCAGAGACGGTTTCCCCAGCAGGGGACAGGCCAATGGTCAGGTCTTGCAAGAATACAGGATTCCTGGAGCAATGAGCTGGACAGGCTCTGTCCCCCCATCCCTTTATTGGGGGGGGGGGGTCAATACCCCACAATGCTCAGGGTTCACTCCTGGAGGAGCTCAGGGGACCGGACGTGGTGCCGGGGATCAAGCCTGAGTCGACCGGGTAGAGTTGTCACGTGCCCTCCCCACTGTCCTGCCGTTCCAGCCCCTGTGTCGGCATTTCAGTGAAGTTACCGACAGCTGATTGCTCTGCAGCGAGTTGCTAACTGATTTGACTCTCAGGAATTATTTTCAGTAAATGTACTGTTCAGTAGAAATGACATCTGCACTGTTCACAATAGCCAGAATCTGGAAACAACCCGAGTGCCCGAGAACAGACAACAGGTTAAAGAAACTTTGGCCCATCTATACAATGGAATACTATGCAGCTGTTAGGAAAGACGAAGTCATGAAATTTGCTTATAAGTGGATGGACATGGAGAGTATCGTGCTAAGTGAAATGAGTCAGAAAGAGAGGGACAGACATAGAATGACTGCATGCATTTGTGGGATATAAAATAACATAATATAAAACTGATACACAGTGACAGTAGAGACAGGACCAGGAAGATTGCGCCATGGTTGGAAGCCTGCCCAGCTGGGATAGAGAAGGGATCACTAAGTCAGTGATGGTGGAGGGATTGTTTGGGATGGGAGATGTGTGCTGAAAGTAGATAAAGGACCAGACGTGATAACCCTCAGTATCTGTATTACCCAAAAGTAGAGTATGGGGGAAAATTGTCTGCCATAGAGGCAGGGGGATAGTTGTAATGAGGAGGGGGATACTAGTGACATTGGTGGTGGGGAATGTGCACTGGTGGAGGGATGGGTGTTCACTCATTGTATGATTGAAACTCAAACACGGAAGCTTGTAACTGTATTCCATGGTGATTCATTTAGAAAAAATGTGCTAATCCTTCAAAATGATCGTGCTTAGGTTCTTCATGATAGTGACTTGAGCGGCATCAGGTACTCAATGCCAGTAGCCAAGCAGACCAAAGCAGAAACCAACCAAGGGGGTTGCATTAAATCAAGCTTCCGCACGCAAAGGGAATGAGGCTGACAAGCACTCTGGCGGGCTGGAGGGACAGCGGCCCATCACCTGGCTAAGAGCTAACAGCCAAGAGGGACAGAGTACGTGAAGAATTGGTTGGTCTGTTTTGGAGGCTCAGGGGTCACTCCCGGCTCTGCACTCAGGAATCACTCCTGGCGGTGCTCGGGGGACCCGATGGGACGTCGGGGATTGAACGCGGGTCAGCAGGTGCAGGGCAGATGCACTATCGCTCTCACCCCGAGCACCTGCAAAATTGAACAGCATGAACACAAGCAACCCCACCAAAACCGGGGAGAAGAGCTGGACAGATGCCTCCTCTGTGGAGACACAGAGGGCTGACAGGGCGGTGAGAAAATTGCCTCATCGAGGAACTGCAAACCAGCACCACCGGAGACCCTCACACCAGACGAGCAGCAGCGAGCAGCATGGGCAGGTGCGGGAAGGAGCCTTGGGCCCCTGCGGGGAACCGCCTGGGGGCTTCTCGGGCAACTGACCCCAGAAGTCACACAGCAGAGCAGAGATCTCTGTAGCCCTTATGGTGGCAGGAGTCAGACCAGCCCAGGCGTCCGAGAATACACGAGAGGGGAAGAGACCAAGGGACACACACAACAGAACACCCGGGAGAGATGAGACCCTGCAACTGGCCATGCCTCGCCGGGGCAAAGGGACCGACAGAATGATCGCGGACAAACGGGCACAGCTCATGCTCAGGGCAAGGGGGCGGTCGCCAGGGCTGAGGGGTCCAGAGAATGGTGGGCTGAAGCGGCTGTGGGCAGCGCCCCCCTCCTGCTCACCATGCCTGCTAAGCTTAGATGGGCAGGTGTGCCTGAAATTTTGCATCGTGGTAAAACAGAAGATGGAACTGCAACACCTGGAAGATAAGGCTAAGGTTAAAAAAAAAGATAAAAATGCAATGTATGGAAGGTGAAATCTCATCCATCTATGTATGACATATACTTTGATACTTAGAAGTGCATAATTAATCAGAATTATGTCTTAGTAGCACAACTGGAGATTTTTCAAATGATCCTCAGAAGCCTGACTGTATACAATTTATTTAAACGGTGACACTTTAAAACAGCTTTGTTAAGGAGTATCACATTTTCATGCATTCTTTTTTTTTCCCCTTGCTTTTTGGGTCACACCTGGTGATGCTCAGGGGTTACTCCTGGCTTTGCACTCAGGAATCACTCCTGGTGGTGCTCCGGGGACCATATGGGATGCTGGGAATCGAACCCGGGTCGGCTGCGTGCAAGGCAAACGCCCTACCCACTGTGCTATCGCTCCAGCCCTTCATGCATTCTTAATGTCTACATTTAATACCCACAATGTGTAATATCAAATCAACAAAATCTCAAGCTCATGGGAAAACAATAGTAAAATGAGGTTACTTTTTCATACGATCAGCTAAATTCTTTTGGAAGAGGAAAAAGTTGACACTGGGAGTTAAGACCCTCAATCTCCAACACACTCGGTGAGCTCACGCCACTGGGCTGCCCATCAGCCTTTCCTGTCGGAGGGCGATGAGCCTCTTGAACCACTTCTCCTCGGCGTCTGCTTTATCGACAAACAACTGAAAAAGGAAAAAAGGAAAGGAGAAAAATTTTACTGTCAATGCTTAGATCGACTGCCACACGGGCGGTGCTCAGGGCTTATTCCTGGCTCTGCGTTCGGGGATCATTCCTAGCAGGACTCAGGGGACCACGCCGGGTGCTGGGGTCAGCCATAGGCACAGCAAGTGCTCAAACCACTAGCCTATCTTTCCGGCCCCACAAATCACATCTAATACATCTTCCAGCAAAGACTGGGTATAGCTGACACTGGATGATTTCTTTCTCTCTCTCTCCCCCCCCGCCCCCCGGTTCTTTTGGACTACACCTGGTGATTCTCAGGGGTAAGTTACCTCTGGCTCTGTGCTTGGGAATCACTTCCGGCTGGCTTGGGAGACCATCTGGACTGTCCACCCTCCCTGCTGCACTATGCCCACCCCGGGCGACTCTCCGGAGTCCACAGTTCACAGTGCTCAGAGTCCTGGGCACAAGACTTGGATGGAGGCCACTGGTGAACAATCCCATCCCGCCTGCCAGTGACCCTCGTGGCCGGCACTGCCCAAGCGCCCAGAGGACATGCAGTGACCGTGCGGGTCCTTCGGTGCTGGACTCTAAGGAGTGTGCGATTCTCCTTTGCCTGCCTTGGGGAGTCGGGGGACAGCGGCATCAGCCCAGGGGCCCCCAGGACGCGCCCGAGTCCGCGAGGCTCACACTGGGATGTGCCAGTGAGTTGTCGTCCTGGTACTTGATGGTGGTTGGGATGCTGTTGGCGTCCGCCCCCTTCTCGCCACTGGGTGGGTCCGTCGCTGCTGCTGCTGCCGCCGCGGGTCCCGCCACGGCCACTGCAGGCCTCACCTCGCCCGCCTCCACCTGCTATACCACACAGCACACGTTAGTGACTGGCTCCGGTGCTCCACGGCGAGAATCCTGCTGGGTTCTACTCTCGGACCCTCTGGGAGGGGCTGGACTCAGGGTGGGCCCTGGCGACTGAACAGGAAACAACCAGCCCAGAGCAGGCAGAGCCAAGGGCAAAGCTGAGGGAAGCACCGAGAGACGCGTCTCAGGGCCCGTGGAGTTTTCTCGGAAACCAGGCACCATGGGTCTGTGTTTGGGGGAAACGCACAGCCGGGATGTCCCCCTCACTGGGAGGAGCAGTTTCCATTTAATTTCTATGTGAATTTATGGTGTTGGTGTTTTTTTTCCCCTTAATATGGAGCGATAGCACAGCGGGTAGGGCGTCTGCCTTGCACGCAGCCAACATGGCCGACCCGAGTTCGATTCCTCCGCCCCTCTCGGAGAGCCCGGCAAGCTACCGAGAGTATTCGATATGCCAGACACAGTAACAACAAAGTCTCCAATGGAGACGTTACTGGGCCCGCTCGAGCAAATTGATGATCAATGGGAGGGCCTTTACTAATATGTATGTGTGATGTGTGTATGTGTGTGTGTATATATATATATATATATGCTTTTGGAGTCACACCCTGTGATGCACAGGGGTTCCTCCTGGCTCTGCACTCGGGAATTACTCCTGGCGGTGCTTGGGGGACCATATGGGATGCTGGGAATCGAACCCAGGTCGGCCACGTGCAAGGCAAACGCCCTACCCACTGTGCTATCGCTCCAGCCCCATGGTGTTGGTATTTCTAGGCCTAACTGCAGCCTGTGGCCTTGTCCCTAAAAGGGACGTTTGACCTTCAGACTGTGCTGGGCACTTGGCATTGAGGTGGCTCCCACCAGAACCAGCCGCAACGTTCTCTGGCACTGAGTTTGGCCTCTGTTACATTTAAAAAGCGAATTCAAGGTTCCTGGGAGAAATGCTTCTGTGCAGAGGTGCAGGTCCTAGCCAGGACCAGAGCACAGAAGCGGCATTGAATCTTGAGTAAGTATAAAAGGCCATGCTGGAACCTGGTGTGTATGTGTCTGCGTGCGTGCACATGCACGCGCGCATGTGTATGCAAGAAGCTGTCATTGAATCCTGAGTAAGTACAGAAGGCCATGCTGGGAACGCGGTGTGTGTGTGTGTGTGTGTGTGTGTGTGTGTTCGGTCTGCCCTGGGGATTCTGCCACCTGCTGGTTGTGTGTGTGTGTGTGTGTGTGTGTGTGTGTGTGTTCGGTCTGCCCTGGGGATGCTGCCACCTGCTGGTTCTGTCTGGAAGTGCATGTTTCCCAAGAAGGAATGCCCGTCCCTCCCTGGGAGCCCATGGCTCTCAGAGTCCACTCCCGGGTGGCCAGCTGAGCCCACTCTTCCTCTGGGCCCTGAGGCTGGTGACACAGTGGGCGCTTCCAGATGCGCCTACTCCAGCGAGAGACCCCTCACTGCCCACCTGGACAGGGAATCAGTCAGAGCCGGTCACATCTAGGAACTGACCCTTCAGCCCATGCTGCTCTGCCTCAGGGCGGCACTAGCACAGCGAAAGGGTGTCCACTCAGGGCAGGTGGCACAGAAGGCCGCCCATGGCCAGGACCCTGCTCTGCCCGGCTGGCCCTTTCACCTCCACATGTGGGGGCCATGTCCTCCAGTGACCCACCTGCCCGTGGAGTCACCTCGTGCTGCTGACCCCTGACCGGTCATTTCAGGCACCTGGTCCCCACGCTAGCAAACTGGCCCTGTTTCAGCTGCGTGAGAACTTGCCCACGGCCTGCTGGGCACTGCTCTGTGCTGGATGCCTGACCTGGGGACCCGACATGTCCCGGGAGATGCCTGGCTCCCCCCAGGGCCTGCAGTCACAGTGGGAGAAGCAGAAGCCTGGGGGTGGACACGGGGGTCTCCTAGCTGGGGCCCGGGCAAGGCTGAGCAAGCCTGCAGAACCTCGGCTGCCTCTGAGTCGGGCTGGACACTGGGATGTAGCATGGGCATGTGCGGTGGCCGCGAGGAGGAGGAGTTTGGAGTCTTTCGTCATTCTGCTTTTGCCTAAGCAGGTGGGGATGCGGACATCGTTTCACCTCGTTTGTGTTGTGCTTAACCTTTCAAGTAGCTGTGCTGAGGCCAGGGGTCCCAGGTGGGCAGTGGGGAGGCAGAGAGGAGAGCTAAGAGTGGCCAGCTGGCCCAGATGGGCGGGGGTGGGGGGTGGGAACAGAGTCTGTGTGGCCCCGGGGACTCAGGCTGCAGCTTTGGGGTTGGGACACAGGCCGGGGCGCGAGCTGTCCCTGCTCAGAAGAGGGCCAGGCCTTGAGGAGGGGCCGAGGCCCTGGCCCTGAGAAGGAGGATGGGTCTGGGCCGAGGTGTGGCCGGTGACCGGGTTCCTGGGGGTCCTCGTGTGCACGCGACAGGAAGCGCCCCAGCCCCTCCCTCTGGTCTTAGGCCACGCCCACAGGGCTCAGGGCCTTCTCAGCCCTGTGCCTGGGTCTCTCCTGTGCGCAAGGCTTGTGCCCAGCCGGTGGGCCATCTGGCCAGACAACAGCTGGCCTTAAGGGCGAGAGTGTGCAAGCAAGAGGCACCTCCGGGTGCACCATCTCTAACCCCTGATGCCACAGATGAATGAAACGGACCACGATTCACCCACTCACGGCAGGTTATTACAGACTCACAGTGCTCCTAAGTGGCAGCTACCCCTTTATCCGACGTGTACTATTAGAGGACAACATGTTTGTTTGTTAGTGTTAGGGCCACACCCTGGCTCTCTGGCCCAGGGGGCACCCCTGGTGGGGCCTGAGCCTGGAGCTTCCCTCTGGGTCAGTCTGCAGCCCGACATGCGTCCCACGGCAGAGTGACCTCTCCTGCCAAGGTCCCTGGTGACTGAAAGAAGAAGTACGGAGCATCCACGAGAGCTGAGTGCCCGTCGCGAGCCCTTCACTGGCAAGAGGAAGTGCCACCCAGGCGGGCGCAGGTGAACGTCCCTACCGTGACAGTTATTTATTTTAATTTTTTTGCATTTTGGGTGATACCCGGCCAGGGGTTCCTCCTGGCTCTGCACTCAGGAATTACCCCTGGTGGTGCTTGGGGGACCCTATGGGATGCTGGGAATCGAACCCGGGTTGGCTGTGTGCAAGCCCTCCCCACTGTGCTATCGCTCCAGCCCTGGTTTTTGACTTTTAAAGCCCCTTCCAAAGTTCTCTTTCGCGACGCCACCCCCGCTGGCTGTCCCACGCTGCGGCCCGCCTCGCTGCACTGAGATCCGGTTTCCCCAGGTGTTAGACCAGAAGGGCAGCCGAGACTTGGGGCTTACCTTCTTGACCTCCTTGCTGGACCGGAAGGCCTGCTGCACGAAGCCGCCGCTCTCGATGGCCTCAATCTCCTTCACCCTCTTCACCTGCGCGCCCAGGGTGGGCTGGTCTGGAAGAGACAGGACATGTCAGGGGCTGGGTGGGCCTGCGAGCGACCCCTCCCCGGCGGTGGCCGCTGTCTTAAGAGATCCTAAGCTGGGGGGAAAGGCTCTTCACTGAAGCTGCAGGAAGACATGTGGGTTTTCCTTTTCCTCCCCGAGATCCACAAATATAACCCCCAGAGAAGCCCAGTGATGGTCTCAAAGTGCCGGGAAAACGCTGCCCAGGGAGCCCAGCCAAGGGCCTGGTCTGGGGGACGGCACTCAGCCCCTTTTCTAACGCTGTTCACCCTGAAGACACAGAAAAGGAGCCGCCAGCAGCCCCTGCTCTCCTGATTGCCGCGGGGGGCTGGGTCCTGCTCTTGGGCGAGCTGGCGATACTTAACGGGAAGTTCCAGATGCCACATGGGCCCTTCCCGACTCTCCCGCGGGTGCAGGAAGGGGTTAAAGAAAACCAGAACAAAAGCAGGACGATGACGCTGGCTTCATGCCACACTGGCTTGTGGTGGGGGAGGGGGGGATCCAGGCAGGGCCCCTCCCGGTGACTCCTGGCCAGCCAGCCTTGCAGATCACCGCTGTGGGAGCACCTGGCCCCGGTGTCGGCCTGGGGGCCCCATGCTGTGCCCCAGCGCTGCTGGGACCATGTGACATCAGAGGCAGCCCCTAACGCCTGCCCCGTCTCCCGGGCTGACTGGTTCCTTGGGACCAGCCTCACCCACACCTGGGAGCCCCAAACCTTTGAATCCTGTTGGTCCTTGGCGGAGGCCCCCTGGTGCAAGGGGACAGGCAGGGCTAGGTGGCAACGGCTGCCTGGCTGGGTGGGACTCATGTTCTCAGAGTTCGGAAGGGAGAGTCCTGGGGTTCTGGGCAGCCGGGCGCCTGGCCTTGTGAGCCATCCTGTCCACCCTGGAGGGTGACCGTGGGGGTCATCTGAGATGGGACCCACAGGAAGTCCTGGCCGCTGAGTCCTTTAAATCACTCCCCACCTCACGCCTCTGTACTGTGACACCCACCCCCATCTCACCTGTCGCTGTGATAACGACAGCCAGAGCGTCTGCATATGCTGCCCACCACCGCCTCCCCCAATGCCGCCAGGACGGTGCACGCCCCCCTTCCCACCGTGCCCCACAGGCCCTCCGGTCCGGCTCTCTGCTGTCCCGGGATTTGCTTCCTTGTGTCTCCCCTCCAGAGACCGCCTGGAATCCCTCCTGGCCGCCTCACGCCGAAGACCCCTCGGGCTCCACCCATGAGGCGGCAGCTGCGTGGGTCTCTCTGCTCCTGGCGTGTCTGCTGTGGGCCAGGGTTTGGGGGCAGCTGCGGGTGTGCCCGGCCCTCCAACGGGTGGGCGGCAGGACTGGCTGCGAGAACACGGGCGCGCAGCCGCCCTCCCTGTCACTTTTGAATCCAACTATTTCAATCCGACTACTGAAGAAAACGGATCTTTCATCCTTTGAAAATCCCCCTGCCCCCGGCTGGGCGGGCTTTATCCTCATGCTGTCACCCATATGTTCCGCCCCGTGATCCGTGTAAACCAGTGGTCACGTCTGGGCTTGGCTCGACTCTCAACTCGAGTCCAGAACACAGCGGACCGCTCCATGCCACACCCGGAGATGTGAACGCCGACTGCGGGCCGGGACAGGAAGCTCCTGCCAGCCCTCGCTGCATGGCTCATTCCTGGGTTGAGCACCAGCCCATTTCATCGGACGCCAGAACACAGTGCCTCCTAGCTCAGAGCTTGGTTCTCTCTGACTCTTACCCCTGCTGGACACAGTCAGTGTAGGGACAGCAGGAGGCATGTTCATTCCTGCCCTTCTCACCACGCTGGGACGCCCTGCCTTGTCTGGTGAGTGGCCTTCACAGCCGGCCTTTCACGACTTGGTGCTCAAACATCTCCTCAAAACTCCCCCCACTTGTGGCTGGCACCCACCTTCTTTCCTGACAATGAGGGTGTACAAGGTGCCCCCGGCTGCCCCTCACAGCTTCTGCCCCAGACCAAGGCTCAGCAATTTCACCTCAGTGATCAAGACAAAAAATAACCTGGCACGGCCCGTTGCTGCTACTACACCGTCATAGCTCCTTCAAGCGGGAGGGAAGAAAACACGTATCCTTTGAGGGGAAACTGCTGAGTTTATCCTAATACTAGGACACAACCTAAAGCTGGTGGCTTCTGAGTCCAAGGCCGTAACTTCATGTTTGGATTGCTTTTTCTTCCAAGCTCCAGGAAGAGAACAAGGCAGAGTCTCCTGCCCCCGCGACTGCCTGTCCTCATCGGGGCCCCTTGGAGGAGGGCAGGTTGAGTTTCCCTCTCCGCCCTGAGCAGAGTCCTGACAGCAGAAGACCTCCGGGACCCAGCCAAAGCCATGCTGAGACCACTCTCCACACCTGGATGAGGAACTGGCAGAGGAACCCAGGTGTGCGGGACCCGGGGCTGAGATCTCCAAGCCTGCTCGTTTCGGGACTGGGCCTCCTCCACCCAGCTCCCCCACCTTCTAGTAGCTAGACAGTCAGACCCACCAATTGCCGTGTAACCCCATCAACGGCCATCTGGAGACTATAAAACCAAGCTCCCGGCGAATGCAGCCGCGTGACCTCTTATTCTCTAGTTCTCAGTCTGAAAGTATCATACCCGCCTATATGCCTGACTAGGAACACCTGTAAAGGTGAGTAGAGGCTGCTCCAAAAGCCTCCATCCATCTCGGAGAGCCCGGCAAGCGACCGAGAGTATCCCGCCCGCACGGCAGAGCATGACAAGCTACCCGTGGCGTACTCGATATGTCAAAAACAGTAACAATGAATGGTCCTCATTCCCCTGACCCTGAAGGAGCCTCCAATGTCATCAGGCTACACTTGCACGTGACAGGGACGAATGGAGACGTTACTGGGCCCGCTCGAGCGAACTGAAGAACTGTGGGGTGATAGTGACAGTGATTTCTTCCTATCAAAATTGTCAGCCTGAACGATACGATCAAAACTTACTGTTTGTATTTCCTAACTTGTGAGCTGAGTATTAGTTTGAATGATAAGAGAAGCATTTCTATCAGTAGCAGATGAAGTCGGCGCAGCCCGAGCTTCCTTTATGGTTCTCTTTGATCTTCGGGTGTGTCGCAGGACAAGCCTGGTGTGACTGCGCTCCCAGGGCTCATCTGCTTCCATTCCCTTCTGACTTTTGGCACTACTCTGTTTTGTTCTCTTTGTGGCTCACATTTGTTTTTGAATTGCCCAAAACATGTTTTTGTAGTTAAAACTCCAGCCCAATACCCAGTTTCTGTGCCCCTCTTCCTACGCACTTCTCCCTATCCTTGGGGGAATCTTTTTTTTTTTTTTTTTTTGCTTGTTGGGTCAGACCCGGCGATGCTCAGGGTTACTTCTGGCCTCCTGGCTCTGCATTCAGGAATTACTCCTGGCGGTGCTTAGGGGACCCTATGGGATGCTGGGAATCGAACCCGGCTCGGCCGTGTGCAAGGCAAATGCCCTACCTGCTGTGCTATTGCTCCAGCCCCGGAAATCTTTTATTTATTTATTTTTTTGCTTTTTGGGTCACACCTGGTGATGCTTAGGGGTTACTCCTGGCTCTGCACTCAGGAACTACCTCTGGTGGTGCTCAGGGGACCATATGGGATGCTGGGAATCGAACCCGGGTCGGCCGTGTGCAAGGCAAATACCCTACCCGCTGTGCTATCACTCCAGCCCCAAGGGAATCATTTTTGAAGTCAGGCTTTTATTCGTGCCCGAGAGCGTACGTGTGCATCTTCCCTTCTTACGTGAAACTGCGCAGGCCACCTTCTGTTCCTGCTTCCCCACAGCGACGTCTTTCTCTGCTCCCGTGTGGAGGCTCTCAGCTCCGATTCTCCCCGCCCTGCCCTGCCCTACGCCATCTCACTCTGACCTATAGCTGGGATTCATTCCATGGCTTTCTGCCATTTTCCGTACTTGGCCCTGCTGCCAGATCCGTGAGTGACCCGAGCCCTTTGCTTTTACAATTAGTGCCTTCATAAAAAGTAACAGTGCATGTGTCATTTCATATTTCTGGGTCCCCCACACCCCAGTTAACGTGCCAGGAAAATGCAACCTGTGGCTCAGCCCCCTGCAGGGGGACCTCCCCACCCCCCGCCCCGCACGGGAGCAAGAGTGGGCCAGGAGCCGTTGTATACTCAGCTGCCTGTCCAGGAACCTGAGAGTTCAGATCTGCCTTGCTGGGCTGCGTTGACTTCTAAGGGGAAACCGTCTGGGCATGAAGATAAATTGTATCAGGGTGATTCTCACCTCCCGGAGCTAAGCTCAAAGGTTAAGTGTTAGAGAAAACATGGAGAAGCTTTGGTTCGTAAGTCAAATGAAAGAAGATCAACATTTTATTTTTCAAAAAAAATCTCCATCTCAACATTAGGCCCATCGTGAATTATTATGAGCGATTTTCCTGCAAGTTTATTAAGGGAAACGTGTGTATGTGGGTGAGTTCTTAACGGCGGTGACCTGTCTTCTCCTGGGAGATATTTCTCCTGCTCCCGGGGCCAATTCACCGCTCCTCGGCAGAAGGGATTTTTCCACATAAAAGGAGCACCCAGCGTGTCACGGGAGAGAACCCACCCCACTTGCCTTCAAATGAAAGTTCCTCTGGGCCTCGGTCATGCGATGCACTAATTAAACACAGTGCAGGAGACGACTCCTCGCTGATTTATCCGCATTAACATTCCGCGCCAGTGGCCGGTATTCTTCTCAGGACATGGACGCTGGTGCTAATGGAGCAGCGAAGAAGGTGTGGTAGACACGGTTCCACCTGGTTCTGCTTCGCGCCCTCACACGCAGACGCTTGGGAAATCAACGAATAGCTGCGCCCTTTATTTCTTTTTGTCCGAGGCACTGTGGCCGCAATACTATTAAGGGGGCTTGGCGAGGGTGTGTCCCAGTCCCCCGCGGGTTCCCACCACTTCTGCCAGCCACTCTTCCTATGCATGCTTCTTTATTTATTTTTTGCTTTTTGGGCACTCAGGAGTTACTCCTGGCGGTGCTCAGG